TGCAATGATATCGATGACCACAGAAAGATGTGGCACTATATGATGACATTTCGAAATCATGCGGCAGGAAACAAGCAAGATGAAATGTACTTGTACAATCTTACTCCTGTATAGAAGGTTTGCTTGACCTTTTCCTATGTTCTTTTATTTTCATTTATTCAAGAGGATGAGCATTTTTTGAATGGTGAAAGGTTTTGTGCATTGTTATGTAGTTTTGTGGAGTGTTATGTAGTTTTGTGCAATGAGGACCACAGGAAGATGTATGTGGGAAGTCATTCCTCTGTGATGAAGTAGAAATGTCATCATACGATAGAAATCATATTCATGTAAAAGGGATCCTAGAGCTCCCAAATGTAACGTTATTTGTTTACTGTGTAAATGCTTTTCCTGGAGACTGTAAACAATACTTAGTACTTGTGGGATTCTGGCTGTTAAGAGTTTAGAAAAAAAAACTTTGCTGGCTGATCCAATAAAAATTTAAATGTAAAATGACTGGCAAAGATGTGCACCTGCTTCAGAAAACTATTCAATAAACAAACTGTGGATGTCAAGTCTCTGTTAATCATATTTCCTTCGCCAATGTTATGTTTAGTAGCGTTTTAGGCAAGTGATGCTTTGAGACTAGATAGTAATATTAGCGGTTGCTAATATACATTTTGTAGACAGGTTTGCGTTGTACATAGTCATTGTAGTGTAACTTACAATATGTTTTTTGTGTGTGCTTTACCTTTTACAGGGTTCCTTCTCATCCTTTTCTAATCCCCACTTACCTTGTAAACAATTTCGTCATCAATATACTAACAAAAGAACAATAGTTACACCCAAAACAAAATTTCACTTCTTTATGACTTCTCTATGCCCCATGACCTTTAACCTTTTGAGGGTCATGCAGGCGTCAAGGTAGCAGGGGACGATGACGCGGGTATAGAAAGTAGTGCAGCGAATATTCTTGAAGGCTGGGTAGAAAGCCTGATAAGAGCGTCAGCCAGATGTAAATTGTGCTGTGTGGTGTAGAAATGTATCGGGTTTGAGACTGTATGATTTGATTTGTGAAGGTTTTGCAGTTCGTGTATAAATGCGCCGTATTGTGCAACTGGCTTTCCGGGTGAGTCGGCTGCAGTTCAGGTCACGTCCGTAGGAGGCGATTTCAAAGTGTACGTTACGAGCAGATACGCCGACAGGATTTTTTGGTTTCTAGATATTTTGTAGTTTGTACCTTCTTCTCAAACATATTCGATTTTCGTATTTGTGAAGTGCACCCTGCTATAATTTTTACCGCGTCGAAGTCAGTCATCTTGGGGTCCTTAACTATAGAAATCCCCATAGGGCGAAAACTGTGTTCTGCTACCTCAACAGCGCCCTCCCCACGCCTTGCCCACCTACCTACCGAACTACCTACCTACCTACCGAACTACCTACCTACCTACCTACCGAACTACCTACCTACCTACCCTCGCAAATGCAAGGTGATGTTTCTGCACTTCTCAAAAACTGTGCCACCACTACCCTCACTAAAAATTGACAACTACCCCCTAGTACAAGTTCAAGTAGCTAAACTCCTGGGGCTCCATATACAAGCTGACCTAAAATGAAACACCCAGGTGGACCACATGGCCAAGAAAGGAAGCCAGAGGCTTCTCTTCTTGAGAAGACTCAAATCTTTCGGAGTTACTAGAGAAGATCTTGTCACCATATATACAAGTTTTGCCCGACCCACTTGTGAGTCCGCTGTCCCAGTTTGGCAACCAGCCATTACACAGTCCCAAAGACGTCAACTGGAAAGAATACAGCGAAGGGCTTTTCGAATCATCCTTGGGCCTGACTACACAACCTATACTGACGCTTGCAACACGCTATGCCTCATGACACTACAGCAAAGACGTGAACACCTTTGTCAGACATTCGCAAGAAGACTACTACAGTCTGAGTCCTACCGGAATTGGCTACCCCCCTTCCGGGAGACGTCAGTGGTAG